GAAACAGAAGATGTAATTTATTAAGAATACCTGGCCTTCAAAAACCAAAGCCAATCATAAGACCAATAGAACCTCAGCGCGATCAACTAGTACTGCAAATATTTAATGGGTATTCATCCCTCCTAACATCAAAAAACAGACCAACAAAGTAGTAAGATGTTAAATGTATTTCTTTTTGTACACGTAATGTGATAAATATCAAACTTAATCTAATATGAGGATGACTGCAACCATTGCAGAATGTCAAGAATAAGTTCTAGTATACTTTTTTTTGGTGACTTTGTTGGCTTACCTGATAGAATCCAAAGTATGAATTAAAACTTTGAAGTTGATGCTTCTAAATAAATAAAATACACAAGAAAGATCATTAAGTTCATACTACATACAATGGTCTATCCTTTAACGCCATTTTAATCTAAGGTAAAATATTATTCATCGATATTTTTTCCCTATCGAGAACACATTAGGAAGTTTTGTCCCCCTTTTTTTGTTCAGCAGAAGTATAGACTTGGACAGCAGGCAAAGAGATAAAATGCAGCAGAACAAAATAGAGAAAATATTGGTAAGTTTTGGATGATTTTGAAAACTCAATTGAAAGCTGATACAGAAATAAAGTGGACATAAACCTCCTTCCTTAAATCTGTATTATAATGCTTGATAATTGTATTGAGTGCTATATTTAACATACAAATTGTCTAACGGAGCTCGAAATATAGTAAATCTTGTAATACTTCTCCCATAGGTAGAGTTTTTCATGATTCTTTCTTTTCATTTAGCAAATCTGGTGATGCTCCTTATGTTTTCACTGTAGCAGGGGAGTCTTAACAATTCAGTTTGCATTCCTCAGGACCCAGTATAACTTCATCAAGCATGAATTGTATGAAAGGGTAGTTACTAGGACACTCAACTGTTAATTATACTTGTATTATACATGTACTAACTTTCCAGCTGTCTAGCATCTCTCCATGAGACTATCTTAATACTTGCCTCTAAATATTTCAATGAGAGCAGTAGTGTCCTCAAACTTCTCTACTTTATAGATTTACATTTGAGATGCATTTTCTCTGTTGAATTTTAAAATTGGTCCAAGTGCAGTCATGTATTTGATTTAACAATGCCTATAGTGTACTTTATGATGTATATATACAACTCCATGAGGCAAGCTGTGTATCAAGGAGATTCCTAAGAAGGAGCTGAGAAATTATATGCCTATTAGTCTTACAATATATTCTATTAGTCATGAACTACAAAGAATTTAAGTCAAAAGTCTCTTGCACTTATTATTTCTTTGCAAGAGATATCTAGTAACGCTAAGAAAAAAGAAGTAAACTTTCACTGTAACGCACGAACTATTAATAGCTTGACATAGCAAACAATGTAAGAAATTAGTCCAAAGATTTTTACAACATTTAAGAATAGTTGAACTTTCACTCTGTTATTTAGAAAGGATTGCACTACTACTGAAGTATGCAAAAGTCTGCACTAGTAACCGTAATATCAAGGGATTTAGAGAAATATTTTTACCTTAGACGAGAACTATAATTGACTTGTTCACCAAACCTTTGATCTGAAACCTGAAAATAAGTGGACAACTTCTTTTGGAGAAGAAATAATTACACAACCAAAAAAGTTTTTTCTCTCTCTTTAAAATAGGTAACTTTCATAGCCAACAACGTATTATTTCAACCAAAAAACACATATAGAACTAATTCGGTGTCGTACATATAGAATTTGAAGCACACTATAAAAATCATAACAAACCAAGCAAAAGTCAAAATTTAGTAGATTAAATATCGCCAAGAAGATAAAAGAAGTAAGAATTCAAGCAATTGAAGTTCACTTTCAAAACTAACTACATCACTATGTACAACTTCCTAATGACATCCACTATTTCGAAATCTCCGTTGGATTGTTGATAGCAATACTGAATGTTCATAGAATTAGAAATATTTCACAGCTTTAGAGGCATTCATTATTATTGAAAATATCAAAAGAGAAGAACTTGAGTTTAAATATCAAGTAAAAGAACCAAACAACAAAGTTAATCATGAATATATGGTTTCAAACATGTTATCACATTTAACCTTGAAAACTTGAGAGGGAAACTTGAGAGGGCATGAAAAATAGAAAAGATAGCCCTGCTAGGACTGAGCTTGGATTGAAAGAGTGGGTAATATATAACAATTTTTTATGTAATTCGCAAACATACAGAGCAATTAGTACAATCCAAGAAGAAAAAAGATAGCCCTGCTAGGACTGAGCTTGGATTGAAAGATTGGGTAATATATAACAAATTTTTATGTAATTCACAAACATACAGAGCAATCACTACAATCCAAGAAGAACACAATATATTATATAATATGATTTGTTACTTTCTCTGACCACACCCCTTGAGTAGCCAACACATATACACAAAGGAAAAAAAGTACCAATAGTGTGACTCAATTGAGTATTCAAAATGAGAAAAGCGGAATCTGAAATGAGAAAAGAACTCAATAGGTATTCAAAACGAGATAAGAGGAATCTGAAAAAAAACCCTACTAAATCGATAATTGAATTTCATAAATCTAATATCATCAAATCAGTTAAATAGAAAATTACCCCCATTTCGTTGATTATTATAGTTGTTGCAGAGCCCAACTGTAATCTTCTTCGTCAAATCGAAAGAGCATAACTTGAAGGTGGGTTACTCATGAAGGGAAGGAAATTAGCTTCATTGGCTTCTTAATTTTGCGTTATCAAAGAATTTTGAGCTTGGTGATGTTGGAAGAAGCAACTTTAGTCGACGGAGATGAAGAAGAAGATGTGTATTCAATGTGGGGCAACTTGAAGGTGAGCAGATTAGGGTTTAGGGATTTCACTATGTCCCAAAACGAAAGAGAAACATATTTTAATATAGTGAGGAGCGGTGCCTTTTGACCCACTAAATTTTGTTTTCGGGACCAATTATTCATTACTATAGAGACTAGATTTAATCTCTTTGTTGTAACAAAAAATAAAGAGACCAGAAGGAAAACCCATCCCTATAAGGATACTTTTAGGGACCAAATTTTCAACTTCTCCCTAAATGTTGGTCTCTAAAAAGCCTTTTTCTTGTAGTGTTGAACTTGCATTTCTCAATCATGTGACCGAGAAGACGAACCAACATTGTTACTTTGAGCCATTTGTTGGTCAATATCATCCGCAACTATATTTTCATGCTCATAGACCATAAATATTTCATCATTTTAACAATCAGTTGGTGTGAGTTAAAGTAACTATATGTTGGTGAGAATAATAAATTTTAAAAAGTGATGATGTGATTATAAATTTTATTTACATATGAAATAAATGGTTAGTAGATATAAATGTGGGGTTGTTTTAACAAAATATAAACTCGTGGATCAATTTTTGTATTAAAATATCTCAAATCATGAATATAATTCCATATCATGGTTTTTGGAGAATATGGAATCACATCTCATGATATGGAATCATGAGATGGAATTAGCGTAAAATCATATGTCCAAACGCTGATTCCATCTCACGATACCATATCACGATATGGTATCGCATGGCCAAACGCCTACTAAAATACTTGTGAAAATGACATTTAAAGGAAGAAAGGGCAAAAAAATAATAATCATAATCTAATTTTAAAAATAAACTAAAGATGATCGGGTAAAAAAAATGTAATTTTAAGTATATTTGAAATAGTGACGAATGTTAGGAAGAAAAAACTCAAGCATTAAAGTTATGGCCATTTTTTGAATTGTAACATATTTTTTAGTAAAAAAATGCCTTAAGAAAGAAAATATTTGTCGTGTAACCAAACTCACCACCTTCAAGAAATTTTGCACCCCTTAACGCATCTAGGCTATTATATTGTGTTAAGGGGTTAAAACATAAAATATACTAGAAAATAATTTTTCTTACCTTATATATACACAATGTAATTTTTCGATAAAGAGGGTCCAGATGAACCTCCTGATCATTCCCCACTCACCCAGGGGCGGAGCTAAGTGTAGCTTATGGGGTTCACCCGAACCCCCTTCGTCGGAAAATTACGATGTACATGTAAAGTCAAATTCTTGTTTTATGACTATATTCATTAAAATGAACCCCCTCAACACTAAAGAGAACAATAGCGCAGCGGTTAAGGGGTTCATTGGTGGCTGGAAATTTGCGTGTTCGATTCCCATGCGTGAAACATTTTTGCACCTTTTGTTTTTACCACGAGATGGGCTCAGATTCCCAACCCAATGAGAAAGCCTCATTGGGTTCAATATGAAGCTTTATTCCCTTCATTTTAGTTTTTATTATTTTCTCTCTATGCTATTTGTTTTTGTTTCAATTTATTAGTCACATTCTTTGTAATTTTATCTTTTATTCTTCTTATTTTATATTTGCTCATTGTATTTCTACATAACTCTCTTTTCATGTACTAAATTGAAGAAAGATGAATTGTTATTAAATTTTAAATTGAGTTAGAAAAAATATTTATATAAAATAAGTAAATTAAATTAATCGAATAAAAAAAATGTAAAAGTCGTGAATATTTTTTAAAAATAATCTATTTAATTGGATTTTATTTCTTTGATTTTATAGTATTTCTTTCCTATAGTTTTTGCAATTTTTTGAAATAGATGAAAACTAAACGAATCTTATTTGATTTATTGATTTATTCTCTTTTTTTAATAAATGACTAACCTAGTAAATTGAATTGAATGAACTAAAAAATGATGATACTATTTATTTATTTTCTGAATATACATCATATTATTAGTAACTCAATCGTTACCCTTTTTAAAAAATCCTAGTGATTTTTATAGTAGCATATGATTGAAAGGACACTAATTCAGAATATTTTTTTTAAATTCAAAATATAATAGCACTGTAAAACTAAAAAAAAAAACACAAGAATTTTAAAAAAACTCGATGGAGCAGGATAAAAGTAGGAAGAACTTAAACGCGGCATGACAAGATAAGTTAATATTTTCCTTTTCCATCCGCTCAATTTTTCATCTTGTATTTTTTATGAGTTTACTATTTTATACTTTGGACCCCCTTCATTGAGATCCTGGCTCCGCCACTGCACTCACCTATGATGAGTTAAACTTCTTATCTCTATAATTTGCATGAATTATTTTTGGACGACATGATAACACATACTATTTTATCAAGGATGACTTAAGGATGAGGCTAGTAAAATGTTTGGTTTAGACTCTCAAAAGATTTTAATAGTGAATTTTATGATTTTAAATTTACTTAAAATAATATTTGAAGATTATAAAAAAATATAAAATTTAAATAAAGAAAGAAAGAAATAAAAGCTATTAACTTTTTATTAGAAATATTTTAAAACATTGAATTAAATAACTCAAATCTTCGTATCAATAAATAAACTTTTTATAACAATATCTAATATAATGTATTGTAAACGAATATGTACAATATCTTATTAACTAGAATTAGTCCATACTTTTATAAATATAATATTACTATTGTAATTGTCCGTGCTTCACACAATTATAAAAATAATTTTATAAATATAAAATTATAGATCTATTTGTACATTTCATTTAAAATATTTCACAATTTATTTTAATTTGTATATAAAGGAGTACAGTTTGAGAAATTAAATAATTTTTCTATCATAATTTTTAAATACTACGAATTATTGACTTATTGTCTTTAAATAATACTACACTAAAAAGAAATAATATGTAAAAATTAAAAAATAGTTTTAAATCATTATTATTTTTATATTCAAGTGTATATATTTAAGGTATCTTTTTAAAATTTGATTTAAATCACTAATTTTATTGAGACGTGATTGTACTAGATTCTTCTTGAGTCACCTTATTCACCGATGTCAAACATATTAACTTCTCTTTGGGGACTTTTGGGGACACTAGAGCTATTTCTTTTTCCTTTTTGCTAAAATAAGGGTGTGACATTTTATATTTTTGATAATAGGTTGTGAAATCATTGAATGAGGGTACTAAATCGGTTATAAAGTTAAATTTGAAATTCATTAAGTGTCACATTGATCTTGTGTTTGCAAAATTAAAAATTTATTGATCGTAAATATGTGCCGATTAATGTAAAGGTGTGGGGATATCACCACGACACCCAAACACCTTCATTGATATACGTATGTTGATATTTTATTTTAATCATATAAGTTAAAACAGAAAAAGTATAGTTTAATTATATAAAAAAAAATTAAAAGAAACTATGCATGACAATCACAATCTCAAACACCAAAATAAAATAAAATTTAAGTTCATGGCCTACCTGATGCTTTCAGGATTTTTTGTGTTTTTTTTCTTCATTCTCAATGGCGATGATCGGTGAAGTCCTCTTAAGTCTTTGCTAGTTGTGGGGTGCTTGATTATCAATTAAATGTAACTTTTTTTTTTCTTATTTCTTTTTTGAGAAAAAATAAGCTTAGAAGACTGAGCCTTTCTTTAATTAAACAGAAGTGATAAGCGGGCATCACCCAATTCCCCCTAAAAGACTCATATTTATATTTTGAGAAAAAAGTTATATTGATAAGAGTAAATATATCCAAAAAAATATATATATATAATGAAGGATAAATATATATTTTTTCTAAAAGTATAAGGATAAATATGATATTTCATCTTGAAAAATGCATTAAAATTCAACTTTTAGATTCGCGTCGTGTAGGATCCCATTCGAGAGAACAATATTGGAGCCCGACTGTTTTAGATTTGCGCTCGTGTAGGACCCATTCGGGTAACTCCCACGAAGTCTTACAAATGAATACTCGAGCCTGTCAAGCCTACTTTCCTCGATCCAAGTCCGGAGCTCGACTATTTCAGATTCATGCCGTGTAGGAGCTTCATTCAAGGGAAAACGCTTCCTATCAATAATTTTTTCATACTTAAGGCTCGAATCTGAAACCTCCGATTAAGAAAGAAGCAATCTCATTTGCTGCACCACATCTATTGGTGATATTTGCTTTGTTATTATTTCAACAAACGCGTTGCATTGTTAAAGGATTTCAACTATTGAATATTCCTTAAATTTATTCATATACATTATCTTTGTGTAAATACATTTAATTCAACTATGTGAATTATTCATGAAAATAAAGTTATTTTAAAAAAAAAAAAACTACTACATCTGTCCCTAATTACTTGTCCATTTTTGAATTGGCACACATATTAAGAAAATAATTAATGATATAGTGAGTTTATCATTTTACCCCTATTAATTATGACGTG